GGCAGGGGGTCAGGCTAGATGATCTGTTCAGGTCCCTCCTGACCCTAGCTACTATGAAACTATAAGACAGGGTCTAAGGCACTGGATCTGGACATTAGGGGCTCAGCTTGATTAAAAAGGAGCTGAAGCCTGGACCAAGATTTTAAGGGCTTGAGGGGCCCAATGTTGGCAGGGTGGGAGCCTGGAGGGCCCCTACAAGTTGCAAGCGAGTCATCTATGAGGCACAGGCATAGCTACGAGGGTGGCTGGAGGCCACAAATATAATAAGGTATGGCCAGGGCCATCTTAAATGGAAAGTACATACCATGGAAATTTGGCAGAGTAGCCCAGGGACTGAGACGGGGGAAGTAGCCTCCAGGCCTTACAAAGAAGAGAAGGCATCAAAGAAGAGGCTATCCCAGCCTCTGGAGGCACCAATCTCTTAAGTATGTTAAGATCAAGTTACAGCAGGTAAGAGACTGGAGGTAGAGAAGGCTGGGTAATATTGACAAGTGAGTCTGCCCATTAGGGGCTGTCAGATGCCAGAGACATTGGATACCCCAAGCCTGTTGTAGGGAGGCAATGCACACAACAGCATACTTACAATCTGCTCAGGAAAGGAGCAATATGCACTACCTTCCATACCTGCTGCTGATTGCCAGAAGAAAAGCATGGTGGGCAGGGGCCTTGATAACCAGTCTCGAGGCAGAGAAACATGAACAGGTGCATTGGTTAGGTCCCACCAACTAGCCAGCAACCAGCAAAGCATTTGGTTAACACTGGGCATGTCTACACATGCATACTTATTGCACAGGAACTACAAATTACTGCACAGTATGGGTCAGTGTCTACATATGCATGCCCGTACTGCACAGTAACTATGGCAACTTATGCCAACTTGGGTATAAATCTGATACCTGCATCATGCAAGTAGCAAAATTTACGCCCAATTAGTTAATTAGTTAGTGCAGTAACACACATATAGATGCATTACTGAGTAGAAACACTGTGTGTGTGGACTGATTTGGGACTAACTTTACTGCCAAATTGGTCCAAACTGTTACTGCGCTTTAATACCTGCACCTGTAGATGCCGGCCAAAATCCACTTGCTGCGCAGTAAATGCACATGTAGACATACCTGCTTTGCTTTGCTTTTAGTACAGGTGTGCTGTGAGCTATTGAAAGTTCTAGGCATCTTCTTCCTAACCTGTTCATCCACATAAGAAAACCAAGACAGACTTGACACAATCTGTGGCCTATGTTTTAACTATATAATGATTATGGTTGGTGAGCCTGGGCCTTTGACCAGCCAGATGTATTCTAGATGAGCTCACTCTATATATAGCTGTCTATAGTTATAGGTTGTTACACTACTCTTCCTCTAGAAAATCACATATACTAAATATCCCATATTTAGGGATGACTGGGCATGTCTACATGTACATTTACACTGGCTTAAATTTACTGTGCAGTAAATCACTGCGCAGTAAGCAGAAATAGGCCAGTGTCTACACATGCAGATGTTAAAGCACATTAACACTGTGTGTGGACTGACTTGGGACTAAAGTTAGTCCCAAGTCAGTCCACACATGGTGTCTCCACATGCGTTACTGTGCGGGAACTAACTGGGCATAAATTTGATACCTGCATGATGCAGGTATCAAATTACGCTCAAGTCAGTGTAAGTTGCTATATTTACTATGTAGTACATGCATGCACATGTAGGTACATGCCTGTACTGTGCAGTAATTTCAGTTACTGTGCAGTAAGTGTGTACGTGTAGCTGTGCCCACTGTGTAGTTTTGGTAAGAGTCAGACAATGGATTTGTATAGGCTGGTTTGTATATGGTTGATCCTGCCTCAGGCAGGGCGTTGGATTAGATGACTTCTGAAGGTCTCTTCTAATCCTACTTTTCTCTGATTCCAAAACGTGCCATGTGATGTGGCATCCACACCAAATCTCTCTCTCTTTTTTTAAATCCCATCCACTACCCGCCCTCTGTGCCACCCACTCAGAATAAATTCATTTTCTTTGCCTAACAAAAACAAAAGGCTGAACTAAATTGATGCCATCAGGATTACAATCAAGATTCCACTAGTTTCACAACTAAATCACAGACCTCAAAACCACCCCTTCAGCTAATCCCTACAGAGCTGAAATAAATCATCCTGTCAGTCACCATTACCTCATTTTTTATTTTTTATTAAAAATAAACCACACATACAGAGCCAATGGACAATTACTATAATGGCTCTGTGTTTTTGCCTTCATTTACAGTATTCTTCCCCAAGTATAAGAGATTATGGGAATACAGCAAGCAAGATGCAGTACATGAGTGTGTATACAGTCTCTCTCTCTCTTACTTCCAAATTAAAAAAAAAGTAGTGATCCAGTTACAAGAGCCCCTGAAAGGGAAACATTTCTCTTTTGATGGTCATTCAGAAAAAGCCATATCTAAGAAGCTGACTGTAATGGATGTGAAATAGGGTTTAGCACTGTATATGTGCTTTTCTGTCAATGAAAATCATTTCCATGCACCTGACAAAACTACATGTTCTTGCAATGTAAAGCTGATCTTGACAAACCATGGCATCAGAGTCATAGCTGTGCAAGAGGGAGGGATGAAAACAGAAGTGAGCATCTCACTTAACAATCTAGTTTTAACAAACCTGCTGTCAGTACACAGTGTGCTGCTTACCAGAAGAACATTTATCAATGTATTCACTAAATATAGATCTATATAGATAGAACAAATATACTGTCAGAGCATATATTTCTTAAGACAATTTGCTTACTAGTACCCCAAGTCCTAGGCACATGAACAATTAATAATCTTTAAGGCACACATACACACGGCATAACCCAATGCCAACAGTGAGACACTCTCCAGTGTAATGTTTTTCATACACAAAGAGCAAACCATGCACTTTCAGTCTGGATGATTTATTATAGATTAACAAAAACACTGAAGAGAGAAATAAAATATACATTTGAGAGAGAGGAAGATGTTCCATCCTGAATCCCTTCGCAACCCAGATCCCCCAGAAACAGGATGACAGACTTTGCATTTAAAGGGCCACTTTGCATTTATAGGAGCCAAAGACCAAACCCTGCCCATTTAATTCACTAAATCACTCAAACATAGGTACATATGCTTTCTAGACAGCCCTCAAGGTCGCAACATTTCACAAATCTATCCTGCTTTGGTCCATCACTAGTTACTTCCTGGCAGGCTAAAGTTAAAACCCATGATACATCGTACTGATCCCAGTAACAAAGGAATTCCTAGGTATATAACACACAACCTTGGGGCAAGTATCTTTTGTTTTTAATACATCGTAGTTAGGATTGTCACAGTTTAAAGCACCTTAACCATTAATACGCAACAGAAACTGCTTATTGCACCAGCTAAAAAGGTGACTACAAGAGAAGTATACAGACACCTAAGTGACAACCATCCCAGGATGATTTCTCATAGTCACAAGAGCAATACCCCAGTACTCAGGCAGGGAAGCCTGAAGCCTGCTTCAGCATTTGAAGCCTGGATCTTAACTTCCTCAGTATTTACATTTTGGATCTGAGGTTTTGGCCCAGCTCATTATGGATTAAGTGAAGACACAATCTTCACTTGAATATTAAAAAGAAAATCCTGGAGATCCTTTAAAAATATGAAGAAAACACTGAGCATCCTAACCTTGCGGTGGTTCTCAAAAGATCTCTCAGAAATTGCTCTTCACTTATGAAAAAGCCACAATTTCACCATCCCAGAAGGAAAACCTATGTTGAAATTCTACGTCTGATTAGCCAAAGTGAACAGGATAGTTCCTATCCTCTCCCATGAGAGGAAATAGGGTTTCTACTGTACTCGCCTTGGGAATATCTTCATTATGTTCTGCTAAGAGTTCAGCATTACATACTGTTAGGCCAGGCAGTTGTTAATGAATGTCTCTAGGCTTCAAAGGACAAAGTCCCAAGAGCTCTACAATTAAATATAATAATTTGCACTTCTACAACG